TTCTTAGTGTTTTAAATTAGCCAACAGTGTAAATAAAGTTATTAAACCATTCTAATATCATCCTGTAGTGTGTGTCTGAGACACTGAAGGAAAGGCTGAGTTCTGACCATGTTTGTACTGTAATTCCTCTGTGTCAAGTTACTGAGAGTTGGTCACAGAACTATTGATGAAAAGGTGAAAAAAGAAAGCCCCCACCCCCCTTGCATGTCAAAAACCTGACAATATTAATTATTTAGAAAATCTTAGTTTTTTAAATATTATTATTTATTGTATTTGCATGTTATTTTAGTTGTATTTTAGCATTTCTCAAGAGCTTATCATTCTTATAAAACAGCACACCTAAGAAAATATAATCACATACCATATGTGATTGGACGAAGTCCAAGTCTCAAGTGATGTCATGATGTCATTTAGTGTGTAAAAAACAAAAAAAACAAAACCCGGTCTATTAGTTTACTGTAAAGAACTGAAGCGACTTCGTTTTAATACAGTTGTCCAACAGCACCATCTTGTGTTCATCAGTGTTTTGTGCCTTTGTCTTTTGGCCTACATCCTTATATACCTTATCAACTGGAATTAAATCACTGAACAGATGAATGTTTTCCAGAATTTCAATGCTTTATTTATTTATTCATTAATTAATCAATTATCCTATCAATTTTATGCCTTTTGGCAGTCACAGTACATTCAATTTCTCATTTCATAACAATGTAGACAAATCACAAAATATCACATCTTATACAAAATCTAAACCTTTTATAAAACATTTAGACATCATCTGCAGTTTTTTCTTATTTTATTTTAAATACAGAGTTTTTTCTTTTTTAAACAACATAAAACTCACTGAAATGATGAAAACATCTGTTAAAATACATATATATTATTTCTTTTTTCATTACAGTATTTAAAATAGCTTCATTTACCACAGCTAAATACACAATAACACTTCTGCCACTGAGGGAGGAAAGGGGGAGGTTTGGAAGTGTAATATCCAGTTATATATCCCGCTGAATGCCTTGCCCTGAATTTCTTTCTGCCAGCAATGTAGAGAAAAGGGTTTGATGATGACAACATTTTTCCTTAAACGTTATTCTGCACCAGCTACAGTCACTCCTAAATCAACTGCCGTGGACTTCTACATTTCTTAAAGTTGTTTCACCTCTCGTCTGAAAGGCTTCAACAATTCTGGCTGACTAGTTGGGAGTCCAGGTATTTAATCTATGTAGGGTCATTCAGCAATAGCTGTGAGTCACCATGGTGCAGGCGGATTGGTTGCTACTTATGTTATTGTTTTCTAGTAAATATATTAGTGATCTGATTACCAACGTGTTCTGGAAGACGGTGTAAAAGGAAATGATTGGGTCAGGGGTACAAGTCATCAACAAAGAACTAGTCGGCTTCAGATTTTGTGAAGCATATCCCAGGCCCACAATTGCAGAGGTTAGTGCGCACATACATCTGAGGAACCCAGGGTGAGAGGATCCTTAGGGTCAAATGAGTCTAGGTGTAAACATACAACTCTAGAGGCCAAGGTATGGTTGAAAGGAAATAGGTTGAAAGTAAAGAGGTTGAAAAAAGATAAAAAAGCCTGCCATTATCCATACACTGAGTGAAGATACATCTGAACCATTTGCTGTATTTAGCTCAAACCAACATTCCCTATGTCACTCAGTCAGAAAGTAAGTAGGATTAGAACATTTCTTTCAAGCTGTCATTTTACATTCTCACGGTCACTTTTCATGAGAAATACAAAAGACTGTTGTTTTCATAGTGTTGAAAATGTGTGTTATCCCAGCATATGACTCGTGACAGCAGGCTGATCACCCATTTTTTAGGTGTGGCTGTTCAGAACAGTTTGCCTTCAAATGTGGTTAAATGACATGACAATTAAATTAGTTTGTCAGAAGTACTCCTCCCAAGTCAGTCAGAACTGAGCAAAGCCTTTTGGGTGAAAAGCAAAATGTCATTGTCCAGTTGCTTAGCATTTCTGCATGTAATATAATCTGGATGACAGATAATATTCACATACATACTTTAGAACAAATCGTGATTATATACAAAGGAATTAATCCATGACCAGTCCACCATTTATTTTACTACATCAAAAAATATGCTTGATATAACTCATTCTCAACAAAGAAGTACATGAATGATGGTGCCATCTTGATATATGACTCCTTATTTATATGTCTGCTGATCAGTGCAGTTCTAGTGGCTGGAAGAATAATGACAATAGGAAGCCACTACTGTATTCATCATAGACAACTAGCATCTCTTTCAGAGTGCACCGTTAATTTAATAGACAACCTTGATCACACACAAAAATCAATCAATTAATTTGGCACCGACTCTTACTTTTTGGCTTTCATTAGGATGCCTGCCTTTAGCACTTTCTTTTCTGCTTGATCTCAGCAGTGTTGGACAAGAAAATATAGGATGGAGGGAGTCAGGCTGAAAACTGAGAGGAGGTTGTAGTTTAGCTACAAGTCCTCCATCACTGGCTACAGATCATTTCATCATCGAGGCCATAAGCATAACCTTTGAGCTCAATTCCAGTAAGTCCCAAAGGAACTGTGAAGGACACTAAGGAAAATTTAAAATGTTCACTTTAGTATCTTTTACTGTGTGCATTTTTATATATTGACCTTTGTGGATCTGCAGGTCAAAAGCTTCTCCCTGGCAACAGGTGCAATAGAGCTGTGCAAATTAGTAGTGGTGACTGCTACTGAGAGTAATATGCTACAAGAAAGCACTTGTAGGACATACTTTCCCAGTTTACTGGTCTAGGGTTTTGGGGTCTTGGCACAATACAGGGTAATATATTGAAACCATGTAATTAAGATATACAGGGAAGGGAGCAGACTTCAGAGGACACTTATGGTTTGTGCAAATAGGAGACCAAGGAGTACATACAGTACATTCAGTGCATTGTTTACAGATACAAAGAAAATGCCTCCTAACACAATGGTTGCACTGGATCAAATATAAGTTCTTCACAAGTCAAATCATGCATGCACAGTTTACTAAGGCAACTTCAAAAACTGGCATGAAAGTCAGCATTTAATACTGTATGGAACAAAATCCCACAGTGTGTTGAAACACGAGGACGCTGTAGCAAGGCCATTCTGTTAACATTAATCCATTTACATTATATATTCATTATCAAGTCAGATTCTATAATAGGTTATATTGTTATTTCACATGAGAAGAGTTGCTGCAAAAGAACAGTGTGTTGCTACTATTTCAGTGTCCAAACTGCTTATGTATGTACAAATTCAAGGCTTTCAGGTAACGTGACACACCTACAGCTGCCATACAGATAAGCATGATTTTGGTTAAATTACCCCAGTTTTCTTTTTAGCTAGCTAACATATAGCTACTGTAAATGCACTGGTTTCATGCATTATGTATTAGCTAATGTACCATATGAGGTTGAACTGATAATGTTTGTTTTAGAGGCCGACAGCCTCATGCTAACATTTTGTGGTTTAATTATCTTGTTAGCTTTTTTATAGCCTGACTAACAATGCCAAAAACAGTTAGAATGTGCTAACCTAAAAACTAACCTAAAACTACGTCCAGATGCCGTCCAGTTTTTTCAGCATTCTATGACCTGGATGGCTGAGAATTTTCAAGGACATTGTGCTAACCTTTCATAAAAATGCACATCCTGGGTTTGTTATAGTGCCTGTAGCTAACATTACCTTTTTCTTTGTATGACTTGGAACATTTTATTACTCCTAGAAATGTAGAGAAAGCATACAAACATTTAGGCTTTCTTTTGCACAAAATGAAGCTGAATAGTCAACTTAGGTTTCAGAAGCTGGTGAGAAGTGTGTTTGGGGAACTTACAGCGGTATTTCTGAAATCTTAGCCATGGCCATGATGAAAACAGCCACAAATTCCAGAAAGACACTGTTAATCTGGCTGGGAAATTTTGGGATTTGGAGGCACTATTGGATGTTGTAAAAAAAAAATCTTGGTGTTTTGTAACAGTAGCCTAAGCAAAATTTGAAAAGAAAATATTTATATTTTATTTAAAACCATCCTTGTATGTTTGCCCTCATAGTATTCAGGCAAAATGTTTATACACCTGTACCTGTAGTTTGGTTCCAGATGTGGTAGCTACCTTAGACGGCCAGGACACTGGGTGTGCTCTGCAAGCTTGTGCATACTGTATTTGCACATTATAATAGAGTGGAGGAGTTTATTTCATAAAGGTCTGCTTTTTGTGGGTGGAAATGTATGTGTATTAGCAAGATACGTAAATCTCTGATGTCTCTAGTTAAACTCAGTAATGGCAGCATGTCCAGGGTTGCTGACTGTGCAAATGTATGCAAATTTGTGAGCAGGGAGGGAGTTTACATCAACTCAGTCATTTAAATTGCAGTACAAGTGTATTTCCACAAACCCTGTGCATCTCCATGGTCAGCTGCCATGGAAATGAGTGAGTGCTCATGAGTTGTACATACAGGTGTATGAATGGGCTGAGTGGTGTTGTCCTTTGTGCTGTGGTCTGAAAAGGCAGCTTCTCTTTTCTGTGTCTCTGTTCAATCTATGTGACATTTAGAAGATGCTTTGTCTCCGGTTCTTTCCTCGAGCTGAAGAGAGACAAACTGAGCTAGCATTATTCAAAAAAGATGATTATTCATTATTAAAAAGCACCAGAGGCAGAATGGCTCATGCCTGTTCTTTTAAAGACTTTCCCCAATGTAACCTTTAATTCGATGCTACTTGCTAATACATGTTAAATGTTATGAATTTAGGTTTTAAAGCTACATTTGAGCCCACCCAGTTGAAAATAACATTATAATGAGGCTATTAGAATATGCAAATGTGTAAATGACAGTAATCTGCTCAAAGAAGTAAACAACTCTGTTTATTTTCATTTTCTTTTCACTTCCTCTGATAATATTCTCTGTAGTGTTTTATTTGTGGCAGGGTAAACAAACTCAGCATCTTGGCTTCTTGCAGAGCTTTGCAAATTAGCAAAGCATGTCTGCAGACACATTAACATTTTAGAAGCTGTGGTCAGGAACACAACAAAGTCAGTCTGTTTTATTCCTTCAGGAAGCATAACCTATCTTATAGTAGTAGTAATATTATATGTAGTACTACTACTACTACTACTAGTAGTAGTAGTATAGCATTAGCAGTGATATTATATGTAATATTAAACTCACCTAAAAAACAAGTGTGAATGCACAAGTTGCACACAGGATGCCAAATTTGTGCACCACATTCTAAGGCTGATACCATACACGCATGCAAATGTGTAGAACATAGCCCATGTGCATTACTGTTGTAGCTACCCACTATGTGCAGAAATGAGTGGCTTCCAGTATTGGTAAATGAACCAAAGCCTGTAGTGTAGTCATATTATGTTGAAATTATGAAAATGTGTGGTAGGTCAGTTACCTAAAGGCTGAAACACTGAACTGCGGTGGCCTGGGTCCTTCTGGAGCTGCACCTCTTTGAGGGAAAACACCGAGGCAGCTAAAATAAAAGAAGGGCGAGAGGAAAAGATATAAATTGAGCTAGTGACTGTGACACACACATAATGGAAGAAAAAAGTATTTTAAAACCCTTAGAGCCTGATTACCAGTCTGCATCTCCTCAGAGTCATAACAAAAAAAATATTTTTTGACACTGCACATATAAATGAAGTGCCGTCTGCTGTTCACAGTCAGATTTGCAAGACATGTGGACCTTAGAGATAAGGCCAGTCATTTTCTTTATTAATAGTATTTTCAGCATACATAAGTACACCTAAAAGGTTGTACACTGTACACCTGATATATATACGCAGATGTACCGTATGTGTATATACTGTATTATGTCTTACTGTCTGCCAAATTCTGTATGTTATCCCCCAGACTTTGGAAGTAGGGGTGTCGCAAAGCAGCTTCAGAGGAGATTCTGCTCCTGGTGTCATACTGCAATTACAATACAAAAGCAGCTGATTAGACTGTCTCTGAAATCACAGTTCAGTTCTGTTTCATATCCAGGTGTGTGAAGGTCACTATGCTGTTGTCTCATACCAGCAGCAGAGCAGACAGCAAATCAATCCCCTCTGTGTCCAACCTGATGAAGACAAAGAAAACACTTTAGCTTGTTTTATGACTATTGTTTTGTTTTTATGACTACAGAAGAAAATTAAAGCTATTACTAATCATCACATATTTTTCCAAATGATAAATCAGGGTGAACTGTAGTCACTTTGTTGATCCCTTAATTTTTCATCTATGGTATCATCAGGTCAG